GTCTCAAAAAAAAAAAAAAAAAAATTAGCTGGGCGTGGTGGTGCAGCTACTCAGGAAGCTGAGACCAGAGAATCGCTTGAACCCGGGAGGCGGAGGCTGCAGTGAGCCGAGTTCGCGCCACTGGACTCCAGCCTGGGCGACAGAGCGAGACTCTTTCTCAAAATAAAAAATAAAAATAAAATAAAATAAAATAAATCCTATGGGATCTAGTCCATAGCCTTCTCAGAAGCTACTTTGCTCTTCTGTAAAATGGCTAAACAATCCCCCCTCCCCTACAGCGTTATGAAGATTCAGCTACAGTGCTTAGTAAACATTCACCACATCACCACCAGTACTGGGTAGAGGGTAGTCCTGGAACCGAGGCCAGCCACTCCAGGGCTGTCTCCTCTCAGCCAGAGCTCTCCTCCATCCCAGAGTAGGCCGCCTCCCTGCATCCTCTGAACACTTAAGAAGCTGAAAGCCACTTGTTCTGTTGCTGAGAGGGAAACTGGCTTTCCTAGATGTTTGAGAATGAAGCCTGGAACAAGATGGCTTTCCATTGGTCCAGTGAGCGGTTTGGAGGCGGGACTTACAGCGACAAGTTGCTTCTGAGTGGCTTGGATTAAGGGGAGGGGTCGAAACGTTGGGAAACTTTTGATTCTGATTGGCTGATGGAACTGGAAGTGTGTGAGTGTTGGACCAATCCCAGAGTTTCTGTTGGTGGAAGGTGTGGCTTCTGGCTAAAGGGGCGGGATTAGCATATGATGGTCTCTCCCTTTGGCCACTAGTGATTTTTTCCTTGAAATCTGTAACTTTTTGAAGTTCTTTCCCACTGTGAAGCATATGGCACCTTAACTGCAATCTGCAGTTTGCTGAGACGCACAGTGTGTTAGCCCTTTCAGAAATCAGAAATGGGGGAAGTCCTATTATCAAAAGGTTGAATAACTTGTCAGTTGCCTTTCGCCCTGCCTCAGCCTAGAAGTCCTGATTCTCATCCCTTTAACCCTTGGTGTTATTTCTGTTTAGCACTTTAACCCTCGGTTGGAATTCCTGTATGTGGGATTCCAGGAACATGACCTTCCTTCTTATTACATTGGCACATCCAATGGGGTCAGTTTGCCTGGCTATGAAGTTATCACCTCCGAAAGTAAAAAAAAAAAAGGAAAAAAAAATGGAATAAGATGAGTGAACAATGAATTTCAGGGTGGGGGAGAGGGTGGGGGGAGCATGAGAGCTGGGCAGCCCCTGGAGAGAGGACTCCAGCAGACCTTGAAAGTCCTTAACATTTTTCCCTGCATCTCCAAAGCAGTTTACAGTTATTACGTCTATCACTTCCCATCATCTTTCCATCAGTTACTATGTCCATTACCCAGTTTACAGTTACTTTGTCCATCACTTTCTTGGTTCCTTACAGGGTAGAACTGAAGGTGTTCTGATCTCACTTTATTTATTTATTATTTTATTTTATTTTGAGTTGGATTCTCGCTCTGCCGCCCAGGCTGGAGCGCAATGGCGCACTGCAGCCTCTGCCTCCTGGGTTCAAGCGATTCTCCTGCGTCAGCCTCCCGCATAGCTGGGATTACAGGCGCACGACACTGTGCCCGGCTGATTTTTGTATTTTTAGTAGAAACGGGGTTTCGCCATGTTGGCCATGCTGGTCTTGAACTCCTGACCTTAGGTGATCCGCCCACCTCGGCCTGCCAGAGTGCTGGAATTACAGGGGTGAGCCCCCGCGCCCGGCCAGGCCAGGCTAATTTTTGTATTTTTAGTAGATACGGGGTTCCACCATGTTGGCCAGGCTGATCTCCAACTCCTGACCTCAAGTGATTCGCCCGCCTCGGCCTCCCAAAGTGCTGGGATCACAGGCGTGAGCCACCGCACCCAGCCTTAAGTTCACTTTATAGGTGGGATGGAGAACCTTGTAGGAGTTAAGAGCCTGGGCCACCAGCTTATTAGAGTCAGGGGCAGCGCTGCACCCACCCGGGTCCCAACTCCACACTTTCCTCTTCCTCCCCAGCTACCAGGATCAGCATGGAGTGCAGAGCCTCCTGCGTGCAGAGGTCTGTGTGAATGTGCCACAGTGTGCGCTGCCTACCTGGAGGTCTTTCTGCCTGCTGCCCCGCGGGGTACTTTGTGGACTAAGGGGCCTTGTGCACCTGGGGGACCAGGGTGCTCGGGCGCCCACACCGTGGTGAGAAGATGGAAAGGTCTTGGCCTCCCTCTGCCCTTTTTAGCCTCTCAACTTCTGTCTCTTGATGTCTCTTCGCCTTCCCGGTGTTCTAAGGTTTCTGATTCCCTCGATCAGTTTCCGGGGACGAAGGCTCGGAGTCCCCCTTCCCAGCCGCTCTTACAATGGAGGCAGGAGATTTCATTGAGGGGTGGCTCCTGAAGGAGGGGGACTTCGGGGCAATGGGGGACCCCCAGACAGAGAACAGAGGTGCTGGGCGTGGGGTGGGGAGATAACTAAGCCAACAACTCCAGCATTACCACCACCAAAACCCGAGACATCCCGATCCCCAGTCCCACTCCCCAGCCGGGATACGGGGCGGAGTCTCGGCAGTAGGGCTTGAGGCCACCCAGCTGGCCAGGGCGCACCCCGACCCCCGGCCCGCCAGCAGGGCACGAGTCCGCTCCGGATCCGTCCCGGGTTTCTCCCGTGTCGCCGGGGTCTCCGCCCCTCTAAGCTGCCGCCGAAGCGTCGCCGCGGGAGCCACGCGTGCCACCCGAACCCCTGAACCGCTGGGCGCCCCGGCCCGCGTCGCCAACGGTGCTGCGGCGCAGCCCCGGAGCTGACCTTCGACGTTCGAGTCGGGCTCCGACAGCGCGGCGGAGTCCCCGAGCATCATCCTCCTTTGACTCTTGGGGGCTCCAAAGGGACCTCTCGCTTGGCACCGGGGGTGTCTGCGCCCGCCGCCCGCCCCAATTGGCTTTGCGGCATCTCGGCCCTGGCTGCAGCTCCGGCTCCGGCGAGGTAGGGGGGCGGCCGGGCCTGGGGACTGGGGAGGGGGCTAGCGTGCTCCTTCACCGCAGAATGGGGCAGCAGAAGGCCACCGCCCCCCAGGGGTACCAAGGGGCTGCGCCCCCTTCTGCCTACCCCTCCCAGTCCGGTGACCCAGAAAACTGAGTCAGAGGCTGCGCTTCAGGTGTCCAGAAGGGCTCCCCCGCCCCCCTCTGTTGCCATGTCGCTCCCACCTGTCCCCAGGGTCCGGTGCCCAGGGGAACCCTCGCCAAACAGACCGCTCCCTTCGCAGTCTTCCTCTCGCCCAAGCCCAAGCCCCCACTCCGGGATAGAGGCAGGGGGATGACCCTCACTCGGGAAGACCCTCCAGGACAGCCCCCCTCCTTCACGACTATGGCCCTCTGGGGTCCCCACCCCTATTCGCTGGGCCAACTTCCTCAGCCCCTGCCTCTGCCCACTCCCTAGGCCTTCCCTCCCGCCCCCACTTCATCGCCTCTCCCTTGTCTCTGTTTCCAAGGTTGTTCTCTTCCAGCCTTTTTTCTGACTTTCTTTTCCCCTTGACCCCTTCCGCCCCCGGATCCCCGCCCTCCACACCCCGGGGCGAAGGGGGTGTGTCACGCTCCTTTCTATTTACAGTGTCCCAGGGGAGGGGGTGCGTGCTAGGATTTTTTTTTTTTTTTTAATCTGCTGGGCCCAGAGTCACGAGGTGTCATGTCTGTGATTCAGTGTCGAAGCCTCCTCCCGCTTCCCGGCCTGTCCCCTGCGGCCGCATCTCCTGTCTGCTTTTGTCTGCTCTCTGCCTCCATTCCCGTTCTTTTCGCTCTCATCTTTGGGCGCTTTGTGCAGCCGCCTTCTTTGTCTCCGCCTCCCCGGCGACTGGGCTCTCCCTTCCCTCCCTCTGCTCCCTCCCCCAGTGTCAAGAAGCCATCGGCCTCAAGGGCATCGATATTTCAGGTGTGTGGGGGTGCGGTGGGAGTGGGGTGCGGGTGGGTGGGCTCCCGGCATTCCCAGCTCTGACTCGGATCATGCCCAGCTATGACTCGGATCACCCCCTCCCCAAAGCAATCATTCATATTTATGAGATTTAAAGAATGTCCCCAAGGATGTGGGGATAGGGATGAAGAAAGAAATGCTGTCCCTCTTTTTTTTTTTTTTGAGGGCATCTCACTCTTGTTGCTCAGGCTGGAGTGCAATGGCACAATCTCGGGTCACCACAATCTCTGCCTCCCGGGTTCAAGTGATTCTCCTGCCTCAGCCTCCTGAGTAGCTGGGATTACAGGAATGTGCCAGCCCGCCAGGCTAATTTTTTTGTTTGTTTGTTTGTTTGTTTGTTTGTTTGTTTGTTTTAGTAGAGACAGGATTTCTCCATGTTGGTCAGGCTAGTCTCCAGCTCCTGACCTCAGATGATCCGCCTCCCTGGGCCTCCCAAAGTGCGGGGATTAAAGGCATGAGCCACCTTGCCGGGCCAAGAAATGCTGTTCCTCTTTTAGGAGGGTGTTTGGTCCAGGAGATACCTGGACTACGTCCCCGACAGTGCCCTGGACTCACCAGCTGCCTCCACCTCTGCCTAGACATCTGATGAGAGTTAAGAGTTCCATGGAACCAGGCTAGAGGGTGCTGGACTGGAGGGTAGGAAGCGGTCAGCGTGTGAAGCAAGGGTTACGGGCCAGCCCACAGGTTTGGCTTGGTCTGGAATCCCTGACCTGTTTTATTACTCACCTCCTCCAAGGTTTAAGGACCTGGGAAGCTTTGTTCATGTCCCCAAAAAGGGAAAGGGGTACAGGTGGTGCCTAGGTTGAAAGATGGGGGATGCGTTGGAAAGTTCTTCCTTCCCCGTGACTCTGGGAACTCCCCACGTCCACCCCTACCCTTACCTCCTGCCACAAACAACCTTATCTGAGATGTAGAAATACCATTTGGAAAAGGTCTCCCCACTGTAAGCAAGCGAAGGAGACTGGAGCCGAATGTCTTGAATGAGTCAGGTGGGTTCCAGTCTACCCGTTGCTCACACCTCATCACCTTTGGGGGCAGCGAGGGTATTGCTGGAGGCACCACTGAACCACCAGCTTGCATTTTCCTGGGAGCCATGAAGAGCTGCTTCATGTTGCCTGGAGCTGCAGATGGAGTCAGAAGCTAACTTGCTCTTCTTTGGGTCGCATTGTCCCCAGAGTGTGGTGCAAGAGGTCTGGGGCTTGGGTTGGTCCCAGGCGTGGAGGCTTGTGTGTTGGCATAGGGATTGCTGACCGTGTGGGCCAGACAGTGAGGGAGTTCCCAGCAACTCCATCTCTGGTTCTTCATCATCTTATCCCACCTGGGCCCTTCAACTCCTGTTCAAGGACCCAGTAGTTCCCCTCCTTGCTCTTCAGGCTGAGTTCAGAGATCCAGATACACTACAAAGAGATCTTGGCCGGGCATGGTGGCTCGCACCTAATATCCCAGCACTTTGGGAAGTGGAGGTGGGAGGATCGCTTGAGCCCAGGAGTTCAAGACCAGCCTGGGCAACATAGTGGGACCCCATCTCTAAAAAAATTAAACATTTAAAAAAGTAACCAAGTGTAGTGGCACACGCCTGTAGTCTCAGCTACTCGGGAGGCTAAGGTGGGAGGATCGCTTGAGCCCAGGAGGTTGAGGCTGCAGTGAGCTATGATGATGCCATTGCATTCCAGCCTGGGCGACAGAGCAAGACCCTGACTCAAAGAATAAAATAAAATAAACAAACAAGCAACAACAATAATAACAGGCTTCTCCCCTGGCCTGGAAGCCAAGGAAACTTAACTTTTAGTCTGGCTCTACCCAGACTGAGTCACCTCAGGCAAGGCTAATCTCCTTGATTGTGAAATCAAGGGTAATCTCCTTGATTGTGAAAACAATGGGTTGAAACTGATGGTCTCTAATGGCCCCAGCAGGGGATCTAAATCCTCTGAGCTTGGTTTCCTCCTCTCCTCTGATAATTCTGGCTCCATATCCAGGTAACCTCCAGGTATTGGAATCAGATGAGAAAGAATCAGAAAACAAAGAGGGAGATGGAACTCTTGTCTTGAAGCTTGGTTTGTATAGCGAGCATACCGTGTTTAGGCAAGCTCTGTTTATGACTTGGAAGTGCAAACCACTCCTTGGTCCCACTGCTGGTCAACCTTCCCCAAACCTAGGAACCTAGGTCAGGCTTTTGTAAAAAAAAAAAAAAAAAAAAAAACTCCAGTTAAGTCAATATCACCCCCACAGAGTAGCTGGTCTTTGTGCCCTAGGGATGTTGTTAATGAGGCTTAATGTAGGTTATCTGAGGTGAGCAATATCATTGGCTGAAAGAGAGAGGGGGGATTTGATTGGTCGATTTGGCTGATCTGGAAGAGACAGGCCCAGAAATAGAAGTCGCTGGGACTTGGTTAGGGGGCTTTCTCTTTCGTTTTGATGGAACTCGGACAGAACCCTTTTCAAATGGTTCCTAGTCCTGGAGTGGACAGAGCCCAAGTCTCCCTATGGGGAAGAGGGGCAGAAGGAAGGAAAGGAGGGTGGGGGGTGGGGGTTGATTGGCTTAGAAGGAATGGCTCGACATTTTCTTTTTCTTTTTCTTCTTTCTTTCTTTCTTTCTTTTTTTTTTTTTTGACAGAGTCTCTGTTGCCCAGGCTGGAGTGCAGTGGCTCAACCTCGGCTCAGGCTCACTACAACCTCCACCTCCCGGCTTCAAGTGACTCTTGTTCCTCAGCCTCCCTAGTAGCTGGGCTTACAGGCATCCACCACTATGCTCGGCTAATTTTTGTATTTTTGGTAGAGATGGTGTTTCATCATGCTGGCCAGGCTGGTCTCGAACTTCTGACCTCAGGTGATCTACCCACCTTGGCTGAGCCACCGTGCTAGGCTGCCTTGACATTTTCTAGTGGAGCTGTCTATCTTGCTTATATTTGAATGTGTATGTCAAGAGGTGGAGGTGGGGGGATGGGGAACTGGGGCAGCAATATGGAGGATATTTGGGGTCTACACTCTCCTCCCTTTGCCCTGGCTGGGATTGTAACTGGCAGTGTCAGGAAATGGGGGTGGGGGTGAATCCTCCACTGTTCTCTGGGAACTTTCTTGTGTACAGAGGGGAGTTTCTTTCTCATGTTGTCCTTGCAGAGGTCTTAGAGAGGTTATGGGATCCTTGAAGGAGTGTGCCTCTTTTTTTTTTCTTCTTTTTCTTTTCCTTTTCTTTTTTTTTTTTTGACAGGGTTTCTCTCTGTCACACAGGCGGGAGTGCAGTGGTATGATCATGGCTCACTGCAACCTTTGCCTCCTTGGCTGAAATGATCCTCCCACTTCAGCCTCCAGAGCAGCTGGGACTACAGGCCCACTGCACCACTACGCCCGGCTAATTTTTTTGTATTTTTTGTAGAGACAGAGTCTCACTATATTGCCCAGGCTGTTCTTAAACTCCATGACTCAACCAATCCACCTGCCTTGGCCTCCCAAAGTGCTGGGAGTACAGGTATGAGTCTTCGTGCCCTGCCTTCCTGTTTTGTGTGTGTGTTTTTTTTAACTACCCCCAAATGCCTTTTTTCTTTTGCCTGGGTCCCTGGTTGCCGGCTGGGCCTGGAGGAGATCTGGGGCTGGTCTATGGGGAGCTCACAGGGTTCTAAGTTTCTGACTGTTAGGGAGCATCCCGTAAGAGTGGAGTGGGTAGAGCTGAGATTTCTGGAAACTGGTGGGAAGAGGGAGGGAGCTGGGAGCCCTCCATTCCCAGGGTCTGTGTGGACAGTAGAAAAGAAAGGGTGTTTGTGGGCCAGGTACAGTGGCTCACACCTGTAATCCCAGCACTGTGGGAGGACAAGGTGGAAGGATCTTGAGCCCAGGAGTTTGAGACCAGCCTGGGCAACATAGCGAGATCCCTATCTGTATTTAAAAATAATAAGAAGAAGAAGTGAAGAAAGGGGCCGGTGTGGTGGTTCATGCCTGTAATCCCAGCACTTTGGGAAGCTGAGCTGGGAGGATCACCTGAAATCAGGGGTTCAAGACCAGCCCGGCCAACATGGTGAAACTCCATCTCTACTAAGAATACAAAAATTAGCCAGGCATGGCGGCACCGTGCCTGTAGTCCCAGCAACTCAGGAGGCGAAGGCAGGAGAATAGTTTGAAACTGGCAGGCAGAGATTGCAGTGAGCCGAGATCGCGACACTGCACTCCAGCCTGGGCGACAGAACGAGACTCCATCTCAATAAATAAATAAATAAATAAATAAAAATAAAAGAAAGAAAGAAAAGAAAAGAAAAAGAAAGGGTATTTGTGTAGGAAGGGGCATTAGGACCGTTTGCGTGCAGGGGCCCAGATGTGGAAAGGAAGGGCTCTGATCCACGTGCTGCATTCTCTTTTTTCTGCAGGGTCATGAAGCTGGAAGCCAGCTGTGGCACAGCCACCTCAGAGGTCACTAAGCCAGAAAAGGAGGCTGCCCGAGATGCAGAGCCAAGCTCTGAAACCCGGCCACAGGAGGTGGAGGCCGAGCCCAGGTCCGGATCGGGGCCTGAGGCTGAGGCTGAGCCCCGGGGGGCCGAGTCAGGGCCTGAGGCCAAGGCCGAGTTGTCGGGGGCTGAGCCTGGGTCCAGATCGGGGCCTGAGGCTGAGGCCGAGCCACTGGACTTCGTGGTAGCCACGGAACGGGAGTTTGAGGAAGTGCTGGCCATCTCGGGGGGCATCTACGGCGGCCTGGACTACCTTCCCAGCCGCTACCACAGCTGGCTCCGGGACCCCGACCGCACGGTGGTGCTGGCCAAGCGCAACGGAGGCGTGGTGAGCCCGGGGGCAGGGCCCAGGTGACATGGGGTGAAGCCACCTGCGGGTGCGTGGACCTTAGGAAGAGGAGGATGAGAGCTTCTCCCCAGCCTTCGTCTGGATGCTGAGGAAGCGCAGGGCTTGCAGCGCGGATCCAGGGGCTATGTCAGTGAGGGTGGGGTGGAGGACTCCTAAAGCAGAGGAACCAGAGGGACAGGTGAGCACTTGGAAGTTTGAGGATCCACTGGAGGATTTTTCTGGGGGTAAAAGCAAAAGAGGTGGGGAGCAGGAGAGACAGGGTAGGCTAAGGGTGGGAGCAGGATGAGCTTAGAGTTGGGCTGGGGGAGGAGCTAAGAGGATGTGCAGCGTGGCAAACTCCCCGGGAAGGAGCCAGAGAAGGGGCGTGGCTAGCGGTCCAGGACATGATACACTCGGAGCTGGAGCATCTCACAAGGTAGAAGGGGCCGGGCGCGTCGGCTCACGCCTGTAACCCCAGCTCTTTGGGAGGCCGAGGCTGGAGGATCACTTGAGGCTAAGAGTTCCAGACCAGCCTGGGCAACATGGGAGACCTCCGCTCTAAAAAATAAAAATAAAGAAAAAGCCGGGAGTAGGGGTGCGTGTCTGTGGTCCCAGGTACTAGAAAGGCTTGGGGTGGGGGGCATCGCTTGAGCCCAGGAGTTTGAGGCTGTAGTGACCTGTGATCGCACCACTGCGCTCCAGCCTGGGTGAGGAGACTCTGTCCTAAATTTAAAAAAAAAAAAAAAAAAAATGGTGGACGAGGCCCCGGCGATTGACTGTTCTGCCGGCTCTGTAATCTGAGGCCCAAGGGCCGTGCCAACCCAGGCCTGGCCTGGTGCCCGAGTGGTGACGACGGAGTGCTCAGCGTGTGGGAAGTGGAGAGCCCAGTGAGCCGACAGCCCTGGCAGGGGCGGAGGCGGGGAGGGCCCCCGGCTAACGGCCTCGGTCCGCAGATCGCGCTGGAGTCGGTGAACGTGATCGACGCCGGGGAGACGGCGCTGGTGGAGGGCCTGCGCGTGGCGCCCTGGGAGCGCGGGAAGGGCGTGGCCGGGCTGCTGCAGCGCTTCTGCTCGCAGCTGGTCAAGCGACAGCACCCGGGGGTCAAGGTGGCACGGCTCACCCGGGACGACCAGCTGGGCCCCCGGGAGCTGAAGAAATACCGCCTAATCACCAAGCAGGTGAGAAGGACGGGGAACTCGGATGGCTGGGCCTGTCTGCTGGGGCACACGAGGAGACCCTCCCCACCCCCAGCAGAACACGGGCTTGCCTTCTCTGTGGGCTCTACCGAGTGGCGCGGCCCCTGAGCCTTGCCCTGGGACTCCCAGTCCTCACCAGACCTTTTGACCCAGGGGAAGCCAAACTCCCGACTCCCAGCTTGAAACCCTAGTCCTCGCTTCCCAACTTCGGGCACCCTGCCTCCCCTAGGATCCTGCCTCTGTTCAGGGACCCAAGCATCCTCCTCTGAGCCTTTGTCCTCCCTCTGCGCCTCTCCAATCCTACTGACTGATCGGCCTCCCTGGCTTTCACGTCCCTGGAGACTCGGGGACCCGCACCCTCGGTTCCCTGGCTACTCCATACTGATCCCACCTCTTCTTGGGGATCCACGTATTGGGAGCCCATGACCCTGGTCCCTGTCTGGTACCCTTGAAACCCAGGCTTTCCCATACCCTACTCGGCCCGGAGCCCTCACAGTCGCTCCTCCGGAGGGACGCAGGTGGGAGTCTGTGGCCGTGAACTTGGGAGTGAAGATGCCTGCCGAGAGGCACTGGGCTCGCTAGCCCTCCCGCGCCGGCCGCGCGCTCACTCGTGCCCCCCGCAGGGCATCCTTTTGGTCCGATTCAACGCGTCCGCGCTGCTGGCCGGGCTGGGCGCGCGGCTGGCGGCTCTGCGGACCTCCGGCACCTTCTCACCGCTGCCCACTGAGGCTGTGTCCGAGGCAGGCGGCGACGTGGCACGCCTCCTGCTGTCGCCCTCCGTGCAGCGTGAAGTGCTTCCGGGCGGGACCATCATCCAGGACTGGCAGCCCTACCGGCCTAGCGAGAGCAACCTGCGCCTGCTGGCGGCCAAGGGCCTGGAGTGGCGCGTGGACAGCCGCGCGCGCCCGCGCGTGCTCACACTGTGCACGCGCCCCTTCCCCATCCCGCACGGAGGGGACGGCACTTGGCGCTATCTCAACATCGACGCCTTTGGCAGCGACGGCGCGCAGGTGCAGAGTCAGCTGCTGTGGCACCTGCAGCGCCAGGCCCCGCGCCTCGCCGGCCTCAACGTCATGTGCCAGCTCTTCCTGGAGCCCCAGCTGTGGTCGCAGCTGGCTGACTTCTGCCAGGCCGGGCTGGGGCTGGAGCTGGTGAAAGGTTATACTGAACAGTACCTGCTGGAGGCCGACATCTGAGGCCTCTTCTCTGGCGGGGAATGGGAAAAAGAAGTACTTTGGACCCGCCCCCTTCCACAGTTTCCCCCACCAGCCTCTCTCCTGCCATTTCCGACGCTGCATCCCCTGGGAAGTCCCCTCTGAGTCCTGCCCTCCTGCCGTTACCGGCGCAGGTCCCCCCACTCTGTCCCTTTTCCCCTTACTATCTTGCCTCTAGCTCCCCCAAACACCATTGCCCATTCCCTGACCTGAACTTGCCGACTATTGGGTGTGGGGTGGAGGTGGGGGCCTTGAGTTGCTATTATCCACCCTTTTCTCAAAGAACTGGTCCCTGCACAGGCTTCAGAGTCCTTCCTTCCTTCTCCATCACCTCAGCCCGGGCGTGAACTCCCCCTTTCCTGGCTTCTCCCTTCTGCCCCCTCCTGGGTGGAAGCGCTCAGGATTGTGTGGGATGCCAATTCACATTTCTTTTCTTCCTCCTGCCCTTTCTAAAGCCCTAAAAACTGGCCCTGCACTGCCCTCTCCACCTCAAGCCCCTCCCCCCGCTCAAGTGCCAGAGATTTGCTCTGGTGCCAGAGATCAGTGCCCTCTCCCCAATTCTCTCTAGCCTCCCATCCTCATCCTCTCTGGATCTCTACGATGCTTAACATCACAGTGCCCATTTTTCTGTCCCTGTTTCTCTTCCTATCACCAGCCCAGTGTGCAATCGAGAGAGAGAGAGAGAGAGAGAGAGAGAGAGAGAGAGAGAGAGAGAGAGAGAGAGAGAGAGAGAGAGAGAGAGCCTGTAAAATGAAATGTATTTAGATTGCTCCCCATTTGAGTCCTTGTTCATCTTGTGATGCACTTTCTGAGCCTGCCTCTCTCACTGGGGTTCCCTCCAGCTTTGCACAACGTTGCTATTTCGCAGGCTCCCCCGTGCCCCAGCTCACCCGGGCGCGGGGGTGGTGTGGTTCTGGCTGGAGAGTTTGGTACAGTGGAGGGCAGGTCCCTCAGCCTGGCATAGGGGCTGTCTCCTGGTTCCAACCAGGCCGCCTTCTAGTGCAACTGGAATCCCCACCTCCTGGTATTTCTGGACACCACTCCCTTCCTCTGGATCATTTATGCTTTTAGAACTTTGAAAGTCTTCTATTTAATTGCAAGTAGTAACAGCTGCATCTGCACAGCGCTGTCTCCAATACTGGTTCCCCACATCAAAGGCAGAGGGAGAAAACAGAAGGCTGGGAAAGATCAAAGTGACTTCTAAGTCATTCATAGTAGCTAGGAGCCTCCCAGTGAAAAGAACCCAGGTGTCCCAAGCCTAGAGCATGACCTAGAACTTCACTCTGTGCGATGATGTTAGCTTGAGCAATGCATAGGTGCTAGGAGAATGTTGGCAGTGAGTTCGGGGTTCGCTGGGGATGGGATCCAAGATGTGGGCAGAGGTGGACACCAGCAGGTGGAAGAATGTAGACAAGGTGGGGGAGGAGGGGCAACCGCCGCTTCGCCACTTGCCCCAGCTCTGGTTTTGCTACTGTGCTGCTCTGCTTGGCTGCCTCCTGTGCCTGGCCACGCTGCCACCCTCCTTGTCAAGGTGACCATGACAGTATGACAATAAAATGGACCTTTTGGCCACCCTCTGTGTCTGTTTCACTTCCCAGTGAAGAGGAATGAGACACATTATCTTCCCTTTTCCCCAGCAGCCTGTATCAGAGAGGATCTCTAAGCCCTGTGGCAATGGGGCTAATGACTCCCCAGGGAGAGGGGGGAGGTGGGGAGGGGTTCTGGGGAGGGCTGCCGGCTGTGCGCCCCTACCCCACCCCTGCCAAGTGGAGGAAAAAAGCCGCTGCTCAGGACCGAGGTGGGCAGCGGCGCGGCCTCCTGACTTGCCCTGGGCCTCGCTTTTCCCTGGACCTGGGAGTCGGCAGCTACCCAATTCTGTGGCATCCAAGTCCCTCTTGGCATCCAAGACCAGCTTCCATCAGCCAGGATCCAGGCCTCTAACCCCCCAGTTCCAGACTCGCCCGTGGCCAGCCAGGCTTGCTTTCCCCTTTTCTAGGTGGGCAACCCGTGGTGGGTGGAGGAGGTGGAGAGAGCCTGGGCACCGCCCCCGCGAGCCTGCTCTGGATCTGCGGAGACTGCGATCCCCCAAAGTAACACGCGGGGGCGCCAGGACGTGCGCGGACGCGGGCGAGGCAGCACAAGGTGGTTTTCGTCCGTGTGAGTGTGTTCGTGGGCGTCTTTGTGTGTCTGCGTTTCTGTACATGTGTGCACGAGTCAGGGGGTGTCTGGGTGGGATGGATTCGGGACAACGTGCCTGGTGTACCCCAGAATCAGGTACCTCAAGTGGTTTTTTTCTGTTGTTTGTTTTTTGATGAGGACGATGCTTGATATGTTACTATGTACGTGTGGACGGGGAGGCAGGCGACTTGTGTGTATTGTCGAGTGTGCACAGCGCAGCCTGTGAGTCCCTGCAACCGCGTCTTGGATTTCTGAAGTCGCATTCCTTGAGGGTTTTGGCGCCCCTCCTTCCACCTGGTAAAAGGAATGAATGAGAACACTTAGAGCACATCTCCATTGCCCTGCACACATCTCCAGCCTAGGTCTGGGTAACTGCTAGGCTAGGTGTGACATTGTGTTTGTGTAAGTGGGTGTGTCTCCGAATCTCAGTGTGATTCTGTAGGACAGTGTGTTGTGTGTGTGACAGGTGGAAGTTGCAAGAGGCTGGTTCAGGATGATTGAAGTGGTTTTCTTTCTCTTGGTGGGTACCACCTTGATGGTGTGTGTGTGTCTCTGTGTGTATTTGAGTGTGTATGTGTGTGTGTCTCTCCAGTGGCTCTCTCCTCGTGTCTCTCCCCATCTCTGTCTCTTCCTCTCTCTCTTTCTTGGTGACTCATCTCTGCGGCGTTGCCCTCCCCCGCTTGCTGGGTCTCCCCTCCCCTACTCAGGAGTGGGTGGGGGTCTGAGGGCGAGTGGGACCTAGGGACTAAAAATCAGGGTGGGCATCGCCTTCCCATCACTCATCATTACAGACCCTCCCATAGCCCCCAGCCCACCCCTCAGTCCCTTCCCCAGGACTCCCCAGCTCTGGGATGGGGAGGGGATAGGGCAAGATTTTAAATGGGGCAATTTTCAGGGGGCCTTCAGCATCTTCTGTAAGTTCAAAGTGGAGACCCCTTCCCCTCTCATAAAGTGGCCCCTTCCTGCCTGCCCCTCCACCATGGCTGACGCAGTTAAAGGCTGCAGAGGTGAGTCACCGGTTGGGGGGAGGGGGAGGAGAAGAGGGGAACGGTGAGCTTCGGGGTCCACAAGCCCCTGCTCTCTCTTTCTCTCCCAGACCTTCCCAGAGGAAAGACCCAGTGCTCTTCCTCACTCTCCTGGTTTTCCAAATCTTCAGCTTGGATTCCTACGATGCTGGATCCCATCTTCTCCAGCTACCCTCTTGGAGGGAGATTCAGAAACAAATACAAAGAGAGATGATGGATTCACATAAACAAGTCAGAGACAATACCAGGCATCCCCAACCAGGTCCCCATATCGGCTCTGCCTTTTCCAGCACTCTGTCTCTCCCACTCTCTTCAGTTCTCTTTCTTTTTCTACTGTCTCCCTCCTTTCCCCATCCCAAGAACCTGTGCCCAGTCCAGAAGCCCCTAGAGGCAGCAGGGTATGAAGGGCACAGCTCACCCCCAGTAGAGGGGGGGAGTGTGTGAATGAGCTGACCCAGTAGGGAACTGGGATGGAGAGTGGCAGAAACAGAATGAGTCCAGAGACCATGCAGACAGAGTCAAGACCCAGATTGTGGAATCTCCAAGCTTTTGGTGCCCCAGGCATTCACATCCACCCCGTCCCTCACCACAGGATGACTGGAGCCTTGAGGATGCTGATTTCTGAGAAGTTCTCCTGGGATTTTGAACTTAAGAGCAGGAAGGGAGGGATGGGGAGTGGGGGCATGTGTGTGCTTACACATACATTGTTGTGTGCCACCAAGCCAGGCACACTTTTTGGACACCAACGGATGCCCAGAACTGGGTGTGCTCAAAGACTCCAAACTGCACGGACATACAGGCATGCAGAAGAGATAAGAACCCCCCAACACACACACACACACATGCACACACACCTGGAAGCAAACACAATCACAGCCACACAGACCGGAATAGAACATCACGTAGTTAAATTAGAAACACTACCATGCCCATCCACTCTTGATCTGATTAAATGCACAATTGCTTCCCCCAATTCCCTTTATTTTTCTCCCCACTCCCAGCCATGTATCTCATTCATCTCCACACACACATAAACACACATGCACAAGCCATGTACATGTACACGCAGGTGTGTGTGCACACACAAGCCCACAGGCAAATACAGTTTCTCTAGGTGCCTGACTCCTCTCCTCTTGCAACTTGGTCTCTAATCCCCATCAGCTACTCAGTCAGCCCCCTTGGCTGGCTCCCTCCCCTCTCCCTTCTCTCTTGGATGGCTTCCCCTCCCCCTCTCCAGATGTCTGAGCCATCTCTCTCTGATTCATCCTCCTCAGGAAGGTAACGTGACCCCCTCCCCATCCCACTGCTCTCTGTATCCAGGCTGGGAAGATGAAGGGGAGATGGGGGGCAGGGAGAGGAAGGAGGGGAGGCCGTGGCTAGTTGTGTGTGGGGATGGGAGGCATTGCCTCGGGGTCTCCTATCCCCTCTTTTCCCTCCTTTCTTTGGAATTTCCACTGTCACCTTGGTTCTCAGTATTTTTTTTCTCCTTTAGCTTGCTCCTTCTACCTGTTCCAGATCCCTTCATTCCTTCCTCCTCCCCTGCCATCTCTTCTCTCTTTTCTCCCTCTCCACTCCTCCCCATTTCTTTCCCCGCAGAGCTGATGGGCTTTCTTCTGGGAAAGTCGAGCCACTGATGGAAGCGAGAAGCCACTGCTGGTTATAGAGAGAAAGCACGTGAGTGTGTGTGTAGGGAGGGGGAGGTTAGAAGGAGGGTCAGTGCCAGGAAGAGGTGAGGAGGGGGGCGAGGACCATTTCTGAAAGAGTCTCTAAGCCCCTGACAGGCAGCCCTGACCTCGGTTTCCAGAGTCTCAGGGTGCGGGTGCCCTGCGTGTGCCCACGAGCACCCCTGTGTCCGCAGTTCGTGTGTGTTTGGCGTGTGTCATTGTCATTCCCCCCTTCCCTGCCCACGCCCCCGCACCGCTCTCTGCCAGCACCGCAGCCCCCTCCAGGCTTCCTCCCTCCCTCCCTCCCCTTCATTCCTGCAGTGGCTGCCCCCCTTGCCACCCTCTCCTCTCCCCTGCCCCCTCCCCATTTCCGTCCTCCCCCCCACCCCCGCCCACGGCTGGTCTCCCTTCACCGGACCCAGCTCGCTGATGGATTCTCTTTGCGCAAATCTGTGCGTCATCTCCCCCCACCCCCGGAACCTCTAGCTGTCCAAGCCCCCAGCCCCAACCTCTCTGGCAGGAGATACGGTCGAAGGGGCTGGCGGCAGAGAGGGGCTATCTCTGACGTTGCAGGCCCCCCTCCCATCGCGTTCAAACCTTCCCTTTAAGCGGTGGAGAGAGCTGGAGTTGAGTCACCCCCCCACCTGCGCAACCCCCTCCCCACCTGGTCTGGTCTCGCCCTCCAAACGTCCTTGGGGGAGGGGAGCGGCAGGAGGGAAAGCGACGGGGGAGGGTGGGAAGAGATGGGCTAAGGAGGCACAGCAGGGGGCCTTGACACAAGCGGCAGTCAGGGGACAGAAGGACAGACACACCTTTTTCTCCAGACACAGCACGGGTCGTGAAACAGACACGACCCAGAGGCACACACATGCTCATTCTTTCCCCCTTCTCTTCCGACTCGGACCCTTCCCGATGGGATTACCAAAACCGCAAGATCCACCCATCTGACCCTGCCAGGGGGCTGCCACCCGCACCGCTGATCCGCGGACAGAGCCTGCAGGCGCGCAGATCTGTCCCTCCGCGCTCAGGTTCATGCCGTCCTTGGGCGCGTGGTCTTGGGGTAGGGAACCCACCCCCTCCTCGGCTCTTGAATCTTTATCCTTCCCCTCCCCAGTATTGATCTCCCAAAGGTGTCCAGTCAGACGCTGGGGCTGCCCTTTTTCTATTCCACTCAGCATCGCGGGCTCCATCCAGCAGCTCCAAGTTGCTCTGCAACCCACCCTCCCGCCTTCCAGCGCCTCTGCATCCACCCTTCCATTCATTCTCCCATTCATTCATTCATCCTTTTCTCTTCGTCCCTCCTTCATTCATTCATAGCCCCCCGCCCTGCCCGCTTCAGCATTTCATTCATTCATTCATTCATTCATTTCCCGGAGCTCCGCTAGCGCACACCCCTTCAGCCGAAGGCCCGAGCGCGCAGGCGCAGGCCGGGAGAGGCAGGCACCCTCCAATCATAGGGCGTCCTCCCTCCGCCGGGCGCCCGCCCGCTTCCCCATGAATGAACATTGACGTCAATGGGGAGGGGCGCGCCCACGTGACCCCGCGCGCTCCCCTTTATAAGGCGGTGAAGGCGCGGGCGCTGTCCAGCGTGCTGAAGCCGGAGCGAACGAGCCGCCCGAAGCCGCGCCGACCCAGCTGAGCCCAGCCCACGGGACGTCAGACCTCGACCGTCGCTCGTATCCCGGCCACCGCTCCGAGCCGAGGCGGACGCGTCCCGATCTTCCCCTGTCCCCACCCCGCCCCGACCCTCCTCTCCACCTCTCGCGTCGTGACACCAGCTGGTAAATACTCCGCTGTCCGTCCCTCAAACCCTCGGCAGCCGTGGGCGTGAGGGAGGGTTCTCTCTCCTCTCGATGCGGGTGTTGCAAACACAGCAGGGAGCCCCCTGGTAAGGGTCCCCGGTAAACGGGGGAGTCGCAGCTTTTTCTCTCGCTGCTGAAGTCGCCCACGCACCATCCGGGGAGTCCTACGGGGAGGGAGCAGAGATTTTTTTCCCCCATATTGCTGCTGCTTAGTACGTGGGCGATGGCAGTGAGATGGCTCAGGGAAGGGGGCGAGGAGACCCTGGGTAAGCGAGGGCTTCGGTGGTTATTTTCCCATTTACACGGCTCCAGAGATCGGCACAACATCTTCCTCCTTTGCTCCTAAACGTTCCTCTTCTGGGTAAGGTTTGGGGGATCAGGGAAGCCCCGGGTTTCCTGCTGAAAGGTGGGGGAAGGGAACGTAGACCTAGAGAGGGGAATTCTTACAGAAATCCTCTTTTGGTCCCTTCTATTTTTCAGTCTCCGGCAGCCCCTTGGTCATGAAAGCCCTCAGATTGTCGGCTTCGGCCCTCTTCTGCCTTCTGCTGATCAAGGGGTTAGGGGCAGCACCCCCGGGTCGCCCTGAGGCGCAGCCTCCTCCCCTCAGCTCTGAGCATAAAGAGCCGGTAGCCGGGGACGCAGTGCCCGGGCCAAAGGATGGCAGCGCCCCAGAGGTCCGAGCCGCTCGGAATTCCGAGCCGCAGGACGAGGGAGAGCTTTTCCAGGGCGTGGATCCCCGGGCGCTGGCCGCGGTGCTGCTGCAGGCACTCGACCGCCCCGCCTCGCCCCCCGCACCAAGCGGCTCCCAGCAGGGGCCGGCGGAAGAAGCCGCTGAAGCTCTGCTGACCGAGACCGTGCGCAGCCAGACCCACAGCCTCCCGGCGCCGGAGAGCCCGGAGCCCGCGGCTCCGCCTCGCCCTCAGACTCCGGAGAATGGGCCCGAGGCGAGCGATCCCTCCGAGGAGCTCGAGGCGCTAGCGTCCCTGCTCCAGGAACTGCGAGATTTCAGTCCAAGTAGCGCCAAGCGCCAGCAGGAGACGGCGGCAGCAGAGACGGAAACCCGCACGCACACGCTGACCCGAGTGAATCTGGAGAGCCCGGGGCCAGAGCGCGTGTGGCGCGCTTCCTGGGGAGAGTTCCAGGCGCGTGTCCCGGAGCGCGCGCCCCTGCCGCCCCCGGCCCCCTCGCAATTCCAGGCGCGTATGCCCGAGAGCGGGCCCCTTCCCGAAACCCACAAGTTCGGGGAAGGAGTGTCCTCCCCCAAAACACACCTAGGCGAGGCACTGGCACCCTTGTCCAAGGCGTACCAAGGCCTGGCCGCCCCGTTCCCCAAGGCGCGCCGGCCGGAGAGCGCACTCCTTGGCGGCTCCGAGGCGGGCGAGCGCCTTCTCCAGCAAGGGCTGGCGCAGGTGGAGGCCGGGCGGCGGCAGGCGGAGGCCACGCGGCAGGCCGCGGCGCAGGAAGAGCGGCTGGCCGACCTCGCCTCGGACCTGCTGCTCCAGTATTTGCTGCAGGGCGGGGCCCGGCAGCGCGGCCTCGGGGGTCGGGGGCTGCAGGAGGCGGCAGAGGAGCGAGAGAGCGCAAGGGAGGAGGAGGAGGCGGAGCAGGAGAGACGCGGCGGGGAGGAGAGGGTGGGGGAAGAGGATGAGGAGGCGGCGGAGGCGGAGGCAGAGGCGGAGGAGGCGGAGAGGGCGCGGCAGAACGCGCTCCTGTTCGCGGAGGAGGAGGACGGGGAAGCCGGCGCCGAGGACAAGCGCTCCCAGGAGGAGACGCCGGGCCACCGGCGGAAGGAGGCCGAGGGGGCAGAGGAGGGCGGGGAGGAGGACGACGACGAGGAGATGGACCCGCAGACGATCGACAGCCTCATTGAGCTGTCCACCAAACTCCACCTGCCAGCGGACGACGTGGTCAGCATCATCGAGGAGGTGGAGGAGAAGCGGAAGCGGAAGAAGAACGCCCCTCCTGAGCCCGTGCCGCCCCCCCGTGCCGCCCCCGCCCCCACCCACGTCCGCTCCCCGCAGCCCCCGCCCCCGGCCCCCGCTCCCGCTAGAGACGAGCTACCGGACTGGAACGAGGTGCTCCCGCCCTGGGATCGGGAGGAGGACGAGGTGTACCCGCCAGGGCCGTACCACCCTTTCCCCAACTACATCCGGCCGCGGACACTGCAGCCGCCCTCGGCCTTGCGCCGCCGCCACTACCACCACGCCTTGCCGCCTTCGCGCCACTATCCCGGCCGGGAGGCCCAGGCGCGGCGCGCACAGGAGGAGGCGGAGGCTGAGGAGCGCCGGCTGCAGGAGCAGGAAGAGCTGGAGAATTACATCGAGCACGTGCTGCTCCGGCGCCCGTGACCGCCCCCCCGGCCCCGCCCCCGCGCGCCCCCGCCGCGCGCGCCGCCGCCCCCCTCCGTGTCGCCCGCTCCCCCTCGGTGTTTGCATGCGACCCGGCCCCGCCCCTCGGCCCCGCCCCCGTCCCCGGGCTGCGCCGGGACCTGCCAGACCCCCTTCCCGGGTCCAGAGCCCGAACTCCCAGAGCTCACCCGCGGGTGACCCGGGGCCAGCCCAGGACGGCGGGTGGTTTGTGCGAGTTCCCTCCCCACGCGGGGCCCCAGCCCCATCAAGTCCCTCTGGGGACGTCCCCGTCCGAAACCGGAAAAAGCAGTTCCAGTTAATTGTGTGAAGTGTCTGTCTCCAGCCCTCCGGGCCTCCCACGAGCCCCTCCAACCTCTCCAAATCGCTGTGAATTGACCCCTTCTTTCCTTTCTCTGTTGTAAATACCCCTCACGGAGGAAATAGTTTTGCTAAGAAATAAAAGTGACTATTTTATTAGGACTTTGTTCTCGGTTATTCACCCGTCCCCTTGGGCCTGTGTGGTCCTTCCCAAGGGGCGGTGAGGGAAGCGCCAGCCACAGTCCCCATGTCCTCCTGCTTCCTGCCCCCAAACTAAGGCGAGGGGTAAGTGGGGAAAGTCTGAAACTGTTTTTAGAGGAGGATATGGCTTGCACCCATTAAAAAACCCGAAATTCCACTTCCAGCTTGGGGGATGGTGGGAAAGTCATCTTTCCCCAGGGCTTGACAGAGAGAGGCCCAGCGGAATGCAATAAAAGAGCCAATTGTCTGTGATGAGTCCAGCCACCTCTGATTCAAAAGAAAAAGGCGACCCGCAGAAGGTGCCACAGCTCTGGGCGCCACTCGGCTCCTTCTTCCCAAGATCCTGGGGCCACACGGGTAATGCCAGAGCTTCCTGTTTTCACCCACCCACCTCCCTCTACTGCTCCCTAAATTCCTGGTCCTAGGTACTTTGCAAGAAATGCGGGGAGGAGGGGGTGGCAGCCACAGGGACACCCTGGCTAAAGCCACTTCTTAGCTTTTTTTTTTTTTTTTTGAGACAGGGTCTCACTCTGTTGCCCAGGCTGGACTGCAGTGGTGCAATCACAGCTCACTGCAACCTCGACTTCCTGGGCTCAGGTGATCCTCCTACCTCAGCCTCCTGAGTAGCTGAGACTACAGGTGTGCACCATTATGCCCAGCTAATTTTTGTATTTTTTTTGTAGGGATGGGGTTTTGCCACGTTGCTCAGCTGGTCTGGAACTCCTGGGTTCAAGCAACCTGCCCACCTTGGCCTCCCATGTTAAGCCTTTTCTAATCACAGGTACTTGTGAACTGATTCAAATAAAACTAAACTGGGCAAATGAAATCGCCCATAACAGACCCGCATCCTGAAGAGTTGTTCCTCCTTCCCTAAAGGCAGCTCAGGGAGTTGGGGGCAGCCTGTTTGGAGACTCATTGGGCATTAAAATCCGTTTAAGGTAGGGTGGCCAGATAAAATACAGGAAATGGAAATTTGAAATTCCAGATAGACAACGGATGAAGTTTTAGAGTTCAATGTGTCCCAAACATTGGTGGGACACATGTATCCCCAAAATGATTTGTGTATCTGAAATTCTCATTTAACTGCGTGCTCTCCCTTTCTTCCCAAGGCTGGCAGGATCCCCTTGGCCTCCCGATGATGCCAGCAGCCTGCCTTCCTTCATGGAGCCCGAGGCCAGCAAAGTCCAGAAATGCTTTTCCTTTTATTTCAGAAGAAAGGAAATAAAGGCAGACACTTCCCCCTCCCCACCCCTCCCAGCTCCTGCCTCACCCAGAACTGGAGTGAAAGAGGGACAAGGCCAGGACCAGGGTCCCATAAAGCTCGCCCTTCCCCCAACCCTTCCTTCCCTCAAAGTGGCAAGGTTAGAAAAAAATTAACTATGTTGTTCCTCCCTGGCACTGGATAGAAGCCCCACTGCAGCCAAGGAGAAAGAGAGGGGTCTGGCTCCCCTCCCAGGCAGAGAAGCCGCCCTGGCTGGCTAGGGGGAGGGTGGAGGTAGGTTACGGGGCAGAGAGGAAGAGAAGTGCCCTGAAAACCCTTTCCCTTTAACCTGACATATTTATATATTTACAGTTATTAGGGAGGGAAGGACGTCTGGGATGACATCAGTTCTGCAAAGGCAGGGAATAAAAGCCAAATAGCACCCCCATCTGGGTCACATTTTCCTGCCTCCTAGCTCTTAAAACCTTTGGTGGGTAAAGGGGAAAGTGGAGGTAGGGGGTGGAGGGAGGGAATGTTTGAAGGGCCTGAGCCCACAGCTCACTCTGAAAGAAGGTGAGGCAGCAGAGGAGGGGCAGCCGAGTCCCACCAAGAATAGGGGCCTGGGCAGAGGAGAAGCAGCCGTTCCCGCCATGCTGCCAGGACCCCATCGCCATGCCCCAGCCCAGCGGGGGCTATGCCAGACCCATCTCCTCCAGCACACTCCGCGGCGACTCATCCTCCTAAGGCAGAGACAGACAGAGGGTGACGCACAGACACCAGGAGAGGCCGACAGGGTGGGCAAGACAGCAGTCACGAGGAAGAGTCAGACGGGGGAGGCACAGACACGGGGGAGGGGGAGAGAAGCCAATGTGAGCCCAAGGCTGGACCAGCGAGCCCTTCAGGGGGCGCCCACCAGCCTCCCAGGGCCAGCCCCAGAGCCAGCCAACGGTGGCAGATGGGGTCCAGGTTGAGTCCGTCACCACCCAGAGAGCCCAAAGCTGGGAGCTTGGTGAGCAGGGGCCCCGCCTTGACACCTGGGAGTAAAGGGAGTGAAGCCGGGACAAGGAGGTGGGGGATCTTTCTGGGGCCCTGGGGGGTACAGATGGCTGGGTCCTGTTTTTCAGAGTCGGGTGAGGCAGTGGGAGGTGAGTGCCAGGTCCCCGAGGGAAGGCGAACGAGGCAGCAGGGAGATGCGTCATTAGGGTCTGAGCGCAACACTGGTGACACGGTGGGTGTGTGTGCCAGGCCATGTGTGTGTGCGCCAGGGTGCGTATATGCGAGTGTGTGGGAAGGTGAAGCTCAACCAGTGAGGTGGCAAGTTCAGCTCTGCCCTCTCTCCCACTGCAGAGATGAGCCCCCCCCTCACCCCCCATCTCTCCCCCTCCTCAGAGCCAGCTCAGGCCGGGCTCGCTCATCACTGCAGATTCCGGTGACTCATCTCCCTGCACCAGGGCTCGGTGATGGCACAGCAGAGAGGGGGCAGGCAGTAATGGGGTGAGAGCAGGGGCGCTGGGGAGCAGGGAGAACCAACATCCAGGTGCCCTCTGCCCCAGCCCCCAAATCCCCATAGCCTTTTCCTCCTGAGATGCAGAGGCTTTGGAGTATGTGTGTGTTGAAAAAAAAAAGAGGGGTGGGGGAAGAAACCAGGGAAGAAAAGAATGACCTACCAGGTGCCCCTTCTCCAATTCTCCAAGCAACCCTTAACTCCAAAGCAAACCCTTAACCCCTTGGCGTTAAGCCTTGCTCAGAGAATTGGACAAAGGAGACTGGGTGGCCATGAGACATCTGGGAGCTTGGGGGAAGGACAGAGCTTGGAATGAGGGGTGCACAGGTGGGCTATCTGCCACCCTACCTCCCACCCCATGGGGTCAGGGTTTGAGGGTAAGCTGGAGAGCCGGGCGTAGTGGGGGTCAGATACCACAGGGAGGGGGGGCCCTTGGTGACGATGGGCAGGACAGGCAGGGCGTCCAGGGGAGGGAAGGCCCTGTCCACCACTGTGAGCTTCCTCCTCCTCCTCACTGTCCCCGGCCCATACCTCCTGCAGTAGGTCAGCCTGCTCGATGGCTTTCAGTACACTCTTCTTGGAGGTGTCCTGGACATCCCCCCCCATCAAAAACTCATCCAGGATGAAGTAGGCCTTCTCAAAGTTGAAGATGATGTCCAGCTCACACACCTGGGAGGGCGGGGAGAGGCTGAGTTGAGCATGGAGGGTCAACTGGAGCCACTTCCTTTTCTAGACAATGCCTCCCACCTTGGGTTCTGCCCTCAACCCCCAAGCCTTAGTAGTTGGTTCCGCTTTTTCACTTTTTTTGTTTTGTTTCGTTATTTTGTTAGAGACAGGGTCTCTTGTTCTGTTTTCCAGGCTGGAGTGCAGTGGCATGATCATAGCTCACTGCAGCCTCGAACTCCTGGGCTCAAGTGATCCTCCTGCCTCAGCCTCCTGAGTAGCTGGGACGACAGGTGCACGCTATCATGCCCAGCTAATTTTTAAAATATTTTGTAAAGACAAGGTCTTGCCATGTTGGCCAGGCTGATCTCAAACTTCTGGCCTCAAGTGACCCACCTGCCTCGGCTTCCCAAAGTGCTGGGATCACAGGCATGGGCCACCGCACCTTGCCTTGGATCAGTTTTTTCCCTCTTCCTCTTGCCTCTTTCCTCCTGATCATGAAACATTAGTTGCTTTATCTACCCTTGCCTGTGGTTCCCCTTGCCTTCCCCACAAAATCTGTGACGTTGTTCCCACCAAAGGTTGCGGTAGCCCCACTTCCTAGACACCATGGGGCAGGGAAGGAGAGAATTCTGGACCATGGGGTGGAAGACTTGAGTTCCAAGCAGGGCTCTGCCACTAACCATCTAGCTAAACATGTCCTTAAACATCTCTAAGTCTCAGTTTTCTGGCCTCAAAAATGGAGATACCAACACCTACTGCTAGGATGGGATAAGGAGCAAACAAGAGGACCCAAAAGCATTTTATAAATGTTAAGTGGGACACAAATTATGGAGTTATTACGACACCCCATCTAAGATCTGAGCTATCCCTCAGATAAGTTAATTCAGAATCTCTGATAGTAGAACCTGGACATTGCTATTCAAAAAAATTCTCCAGAAAATTCCAATGCAAATCCAAGATCAGGAACCAGTGATAAAAATCTGAATATGGGGCCAGGTACAGTGGCTCACGCCTGTAATCCCAGACTTCGGGAGGCTGAGGTGGGAGCATCACTTGAGCCCCCAGAGATTAGCCTGGGCAACACAGCGAGACCCTATCTCTGAAAAAAAAAAATACAAAAATTAGCTGGGCGTAGTGGTGTGCACTTGCAGTCCCAGCTCCTCAGGGTACTGAGGCAGGAGGATGGCTTGAGCCCAGAGGTTAAGGCTGCAGTGAGCTATGATTGTGCCACTGCACTCCAGCCATAGGAGGCATTCCTCCAGGTGACCGGGTGAGGCTCTGTTTCTAAAAAAATAAAAATTTAAACTAAACAAAAAATCTGAACTTGGTCTCTGTGAAAAGTCCGAGCTAAGCTCTAAGTGGAGATTAACTGCCTGATCCTGCCCCCACTCTCCCCACTCAGGGACGATTATGGGACATGGTTAATAGGCTTAAAGCTTAAAAAGGGAAATTAATTACTGTTCTTACTGCTCCAACTTCACCTCTCCCCTGAGACTTCCAGAGCAGAGACTGGTGGTGCCTCAAAGTTTGGTAGATTACCAAAGGGGATTGCTGCGAATGGAAACTGGTGGGCAGAGGAGACTTACACTG